GACAACTTTGCTCCTTCTTTTTTTTTTTTTTGCTCGCTTAGTGGGGGGTGGAGTCCAACTGATTGGTTTATTGTAGCCTGCCCCAGGTGATTATGATGGAGAATTAGGTGGAATGAAGATTGATAAGGAAAACCGAAGTACTTGGAGAAAACCCGCCCCAGCCGCGCTTTGTCCACCACAAATCCCACTTGAACAGACCCGGGACCAAACCCGGGCCGCCGCGGTGGGAAGCCAGCGACTAACTGCTTGAGCGACAACTTTGCTTTCTACATACTTGTGAATTTTTCTTGAATTGTTCCTACAAACTGTGTTGCTGACAAAAGTATGGCGAAGAGGCGAGGACTAAATGAATGAAAACAGCCATTGTATGCCAGTAGAAATGGCGGGAGACCTATTGCTTTCTTTAGTGTTCCGCAATTTAATTTGCATGATACGTAAACGAAATGTTAATATGCCGAAATAGCATGACTTGACAAGATATTTTAAGGCAAGTATATAGATTGCAACGAAATAGTTTGTGGTTAAATTAGAAAAAATAAAGTTGCTTGCGAGTCTCCTTAATGCAAATGAGAGCCATTTCTGCGAATAGTAATTTCGCTTTATAAACATAAGACACTTGCGATAAGCCGATCTTCATTATTTTTAGATCGTTTAACGACGTTTTTAACTGTATTTATTGTAGATTCTTAGGAAGATTATGACCGTGAAAATATGTGGAGGGAAACTGTAATTGAATAGAATACTACTGAAGAATTTGCCTGGAGGAACTAAGGGACACTCAGAAACCGAAGTCAGAAAACCAAGACTTCGTGCAAGTTTCGGAATCTGATACAATTCAGGAGCATTATTTACTCATCTGGGATGTTCGGTGTGTTAATCTTAATGACGAAGGAGTGTGTTTATGCGTATCCACATTTGTAAAAGTTGGCAGAGACGTTCACTGATATTTCACACCTTCAAGGATTCTGCTACTGTAGTACTTAGTGAGACCTGGATGTACAGCATTGTAGCAACAAAAGCGCTCATTGGCGAGATGCTGAGGTGTATTTTCACGATCCACGCCCGTACAGTTCTTGGTCTTGAATAATACTTGGAGTATGTAAGATTTGAGGTTTTCACGGCGGTGATTGTGAGGAAAGCAGTCTTCTGGGATATGGTGCCGTGTAGATATTGTGTTAACCGACGTTTCGGAAAAACGTATCTCCTCCATCTTCAGGGTAGTCGACTCGACATTAGTTTGTTAGCACCTGCTCACACTGGTTCCTTGCTCCCGGATTTTCTTTTTTATTCTACCCTGAAGATGGAGGCGATACGTTACTCCGAAACGTCGGTTAACACAATATCTACACGGCGCCACATCCCAGAAGACTGTTTTCTTCACAATACTCTAGTGCAGAGATTATACAGAATTAAACAGCGTTGAAGCGAACGGGGAAGTATTGTAAACAGAAAGTGACGAGGATTGGCAAGATACTGAGCCGGTATATGGCTGAAATCCGGGATGAGCCATCCTCCTTAAGAGCAAGAAAATCTTGTTTGGCTAGAAATTTAGAGGATGAAACATAACGGATACGAGAAGGGGTTTTGGCGGCGTGTTTCCTCAGAGCTGAATTGGCAATAAATTTTATGTCCTTACATTTCATGGAACTTTTGTGACATGTTATGTTAGATTAATCTAATCCATAGCCTTCCGCCGGTCCTCTTAAAGTCCGCTTTAATAATAAGCTGAACTGGCTATAAATTTCATGGCCTGATATTAAGTGAAACTCTTGTAGTTCATTATATTTGAAGAACGCAGTCCATATTCTTACAGCAGTCTGTGTAATGTCCATGCTAATATCTCAAATCTGCAGCTATACCTAACAAGTGCTTTCTACCCTTCAGTTTTACAGTTGAAATATTGTGTATATTGTAAGTTTTGAGGTTTTCACGGCGATGACTATGAAGGAAGTCGTCTTCTGGGTTTTGGCGCCGTGTATTCTTCGTTTTGGCTGACGTTCCTCCGAAACGTCAGCCAAAACGAAGAATACACGGCGCCAAAACCCAAAAGACGACTTTCTTCACAGTAACGATCATGTTTGTAACATGTGTGTACCCATTACAGTACATCTCTCCACCCGTTTTGCCTTTTCTATTCGTCTGGGGCCACACTTGTAACGTGAACAGGATATCGCATTCAACGCTTCTGTACGTGGAAATGTAACACAGTGCTTTACAATACGTTGCAGCTGATACAAGAGTAATGCAAAACAGATTAGCTAATTTTGTTCGAAAGTATTTTGTGTTAAAATGGTTCTTTTGCAGTCAGTTAACCTTGATAGCCTTTAGTGACGGTGTGAGGGTCTTCAAACATTAGCTCAGTCATCTCTGGACACGCCCAAAGCATTGTAAGTTATTTTCGTTTGGGAAAAGATTTTCCATCTACGTAAATATAAAATGAAAAAATATCGTCATTCTCCGTTGTACCTTTTATAAACAAGAATGGCGTATCTCTCGTTTTTATAACCTATTATAGATCAATTTCTAAATGGCGCAGCCACATACATGTTAAGGGGGTTCCTTATCTTTACGGCATGGTATGATAATTGGATCCTGCCTCTGTATACGGATAGTAACCGGGGATATTTTGAAGAAGCAGTTGAGATTAATCCACCATGTGTTGTCCTAGATATTGTGGTTTGGGCATGGGACCATTGCTCGAAACAGTGAATTTTATTATGAATATTATAACAGCGTATTCAGGACAAGGTGAACCAGCAACAATAATGTAGGAAGGGAAGATCCGGTATGCAGGATGTGTACCACAATTACTACAACAATGTAAACATGTTGTAATAAGATATGTGACTGAAGACAGTAAGTGTTGCATTTAAGACTGTGGTTATACATTGGAGTGTATTCAGAAGTAAAAATGAATAAGATAATTTACCTGTTAATTTGTCGTTAACGAAAATCTGATGTGAGGTTAATTAATTTGTTCAAACACAGAAAGGACCATACCCCGAAGAAAGAGCGATTGAACAGCTAACATAATTTTGAGAAATTTCAAAGTTATTAGATAATGCGTGACTCTTATATATTAATTAATCTCACATAGAGGAATTAATTTACCTATACCAACATTATGGATTACTATAACAGTAAAATGCATTACTTGACCAAACTTAGTGTGCAGCAGTTTCTGAGACCCTTGGGTGGGATTGGCGAAGCATATGGGAGAGATGAGAAACGCATACAAAATTATAATTGGAAATCCAGAAAAGAAGAGCCCACTTGTGAAACCTAGGGGTGGATGGGAAAATATAGAATAGCTCTTAAAGAAAAAGGGTGTGATTTTCAAACACACCATCTGGCCCAGGTCGTGAACCAGTGGCGTCCCTTTTTGAACACTATTATTTTATTTATTGCATATTGTCTGAGGTATGTTTTATTTACACGGCCTTTATGGAGTTGGCCCTTCTTCCTACTTTAGGCCACTGGTTGTCTAACCTAATGTTTAAGAAGACCTGGTTTCGAGCCTCAGATATGAAGATGTCAAAAGAACGGTTACATTTCCTTTCCTGATCCACGTTCCCATTCAACCACGGATTCGATCGCTGAATTATGTTAGGCCATTTTGTAACGCGTAGGTCTGACAGACCATAGAAGTAGTGTCGACACCCTCGCTTTAAATACTGTTGATTTTTAAATTAAATTGAAATATAAATTCGAATTGAGACTCCAATGTAGTTGGCTCTCTACTGTTGGTGCTCTGTTCCAAACTGAGATAGCATCACCGTCGCTGCTTCCTTGCTTGTCAATTAGTACTCAGTGCTGCAGAACCTTCCTTAAGGAGGTAATTGTTGCGCAGTTGGTTGGGCAATTTCCCGTCATTTATGGACACAAGTTCTCTCAAGATGCGTGACAGGGATTCAAAACACGCATGTTTGACATTGTCCAACACCATTTGTACTGAAGTAAAGAGTAATAACAAATATACCAGAGAAATGTCAACGTGTCGCCTGAAGAAGGGAATACAGTCGTGTTCCGAAACGCTGTATGTATCAGATTTGCTTCAGGCAGAGCACAATGTCTAACATTCTCATACTGAATCACTCGTGGTCTCAGGCCTGTACAGTGTCTTGTAATCACGATAAAGGTTATTCAGGTTCCATAATATAGGGCGATTTCTTGACTGACCGAGTCCTTAGTAAAACAAGGGAAGCAATGCCGTCGATATGATTTTAGTTATTCGGCGAGCGTCACCTGACGAATGAGAAGCTTCGAAGTACAGAACACGAATTGTACAGAGAGACATTTACATTGGGGCCTCTATTCGAATCTGAGTTTATGATGAATTAAACACTCAGAAATGTTCACGTTACAATATGAAAACCACTTCTATGGTGTAAATTAAGCCTACAAACTACAAAATCCTCTAACCGAACTCCCTCATTTAATTCATGGTAGATTCCTTGGTTCAGTGAAAACTATGTTAAGGAAACAAAATACGAATAGCAGATGTTTCACCATCTTCATATTTGAATTATATCCCTACCTCAGGGACTGCTCTGATGTATCAGCTTCTTAATAGGAAAATCGAAACACGCAATCAGTTTATTCTCTACCATATTTAACTTTCCCGTCCATTATGGCGGGATGTACAAGTACATACTGTCTCGATATAATTTGGGTTATTTCTGTGGCAGTCTTATCTTAACTCCGTGAAGGAGCTTCTGGTTGCGTAATAACTGAATACATATCAGTTACTTTAGGAGGCTGGTTGACCAGTTGACCGGTGTGAGTGGTCATAAGTGTAGCGGATTATGGCTTGTTCCTAAGTTTAACAACTGAGTTTATTAAAAAGAATATTCTGGTACAGGCTAAATAATTTCTGCACGAATATAATTTAATTCCTACCTAAGTTTAGCTCTTAAAATGGAGGTGTATATGATGATTGTCTTTTTTAGTTCTGTTCAGTGTTTGTTTCTTTAAATAACTCACATTTCATTTAATTTCAGCATGAAATCTAACGGAAGGCACGTACTACCTAAATGTGTCCCGTCCCAGCGTCATCCATGGGTCACGTAAGTAGCACAATTCTCAGGTTCCGTTTATTAACGATTAGTTGAAGCTGTCTCTAGAGATGTTTCCCAGAGGGCATCTGAAGGTACTATTTGCTTCGTATCTCAAGGATATTTACGGTTCTTATGAAAAGGAACTTCATTCCATCCAGCAATTAAGTCATTAGCTCCTTCATGCTATATTGAAAATATCCGAGTAGCCTAAAGTGATATTACTTACGTTGTTAATCTCAGTCTGTCTTATTTATCAACTAATGATTCAGCATCAAGGCCAGTGCAGAGAAATGACTAACTTGGAATAAGAAATCTGCTTCAGGGGCTGAAGTTATGTATAGTCGGTGTTAGCTGAGGGAAGTGTCTGATAAGAGCAGAATGTAGCAGAAGTCCTATATCATGTAAGATTTGAGGTCTTCACGGCCGTGGCTATGAAGAATGTGGCGCCGTGTGATCTTGTGTGAACCGATGTTTCGATCGCTTCCATCTTCAGCCACCTGTTCATGCTGGTTCTTCGCTCGCGGATTTTTCTAGCATGCAAATGGAGGCGATACGTTCCTCCGAAACGTCGGTTCACGGTGCCACATCCCAGAAGACGACATTCTTCTCATATATTGATAGCATGGAAATGAACTATTTAATGTTCTTGTGTTAGTTGACCCCTTTTCGGCCCGGCATTTTAATAATATATTGAAAGTATAAAATTGGAGCTTCCGCAATGCCTAAGCACCGAAAGGAAGACATGCAGGGGGAAGTGGATGTAACCTTCTTAACCTAAGCAGTACATAAGCTTGAATGATCACCTTCACGTTCCAACCGATTTCGCTCCGATACTCACAAAATAGAAGGATTGATAGGCCGTGTTGGAGCGTGACTGAAGAGGAAAATGCCGTCCCCTGCCGGGAATGGAACACAGGTCAACCAGCGCCTAGTCAGCAATATTTAGTGACCAAACAGTCCCTACTCACTTCTGCTAAAGCTTATAATTTATTTTTTAGTTTATTGTATAGTCACTTGTAGGGGTGACGATAGACCAGGTTTCGGATTGGATTTATTGCACCTTAACATTCACACAGTTCGGGTCTACAGGCAATACAGCGCTGTCGCTATTCTACACGCTGTCCAGTTCACAGTTACGCACTAGGGATCTCAGTCTTCACTAGTCGTATCCTAGCAACGGATTTATCACAGTCTCGCTGTCACTTCAAATCACACATGAAGTTTTATTCTCATAGTCTAGTTCCTTTCTTGTCATTATTCTGCAGTTGCCAATTCCGAAGACTCAATTGAATTCAATTCCTCTACTCCTAAGCTCATACCCCGGCAGGCTGGTGCTTCAAACTCGAATCTATTCTCGACTCGACTACTGTCCTCTACTTAGTCGCGTCAAAGTCAAAGTCACATTGCGACTGACGGTCAGTCTGTCTGTCTGTCTTGGTGTCGAGCCCCGGGTGGGGCTCATGACCAGATATTTGTTACTGTTTGGCATTTACGGTCTTGTTTTTGTGGGGCGCCCTCTCTGACGAGAGGACGGGTCTGTCTTTTATATGCTGCTGGCTCTTGCCAGCGCAGTCTTTCTCGGGTCCGAGTCCCTTGGGACTCGCGACCATATTTTACTGTCTCAGATTTGAGACTTCCCTTTTCGTCGCCTCTTACAACTCGTAGGGTCACGGTGGAGGTATTCGACCCCACCTCCACACGGGCATCTGTCCTAGACTGACTGACTCTGTAAACTTCCACTCAGTCGGTCTCACTTAGTTGCGTCGAAGTCACATTGCGACTGACGGTCAGTCAGTCAGTACGTCTTGGTGTCGAGCCCCATCTGGGGCTCATGGCCAGATATTTATTACTGTTTGACATTTACGGTCTTGCTTTTGTGGGGCGTCCTCTCTGCCGNTTTTATATGCTGCTGGCTCTTGCCAGCGCAGTCTTTCTCGGGTCCGAGTCCCTTGGGACTCGCGACCATATTTTACTGTCTCAGAATTGAGACGAGAGAGAGAGAGAGAGAGAGAGAGAGAAAAAAAAGAAAGACACACACACACTTACGGATCATCTCCTTAGTCGCGTCTTCTGAGTGTCTATTTATAACCTCTCGGCACGGACACCACGGAAAACAGGATGTATTGTTGACGAGGCGTGTTTAGTGCGCCGTTGCCTAGCAATAGACGACCTGCTGTCGCGCGCTTACGCTTGGCGGGAATGTGTTTCCCGAGTTGTTGCCTAACAATGGGTATATACGTCACAATAAGTTATTGCAAATTATTTAACGTCCAGTCACACTTAAAATATCTAAATTTTGAGTTGCGCTTTTATTCGCGCCTTGTAGCGTAGACTACTTGTACCAAAAATAGTATAAATTATCTACTAATCGGATTGCATTGTATGTTTTTGCGAAGTTAAGTTTGAAAGAAGTTTATCTTAACCTCCGTCAACCTGTCTTTCGTACAAGCACTCGCATTCAGGACCTCTTCGAGCAGTTCAGACAGTACGTATACAAAATAACATAACATTCGTTGTGTCCTTTTCAAGGTTACAGGATCATGACGAGGAGAAAAAATTAAGGCACCTGCTGCTTTCTATTTCATGACTGAACCACATGCCGGTAATATCAATCACAAGAAATCTTAGTATTTGATAACAGTCCTATTTCAATCACCGTACACACCAGGAAAATCTGTCGACTTATATCCGCACCAAATTCCACGTGCTTGTCTGCAGTGGTAAATTACGTCATGTCAGAAAGTGTATTTAGGTCTTTTGATGGTCTACTTTGTGGAGAAACAATCGGAAGGAAATTTACATAATTTTCTTAGAACTATTAACGTATAATATTTCATAACCATATACAGGATATGTCCAGTGTTGCTTCGACCTACCTACCGGAAGTATAGCTGCCGTATTCCAGACCTCGGCACTAGGTGGAGGTGAGTGGTGAGCTTCACGTCCCAGCCGCTTTACCCTCGAGGAGAAAGCCCCCGATATCCATTCCATAGGAGGCTGTGTGGGTCCCAGAGCCTCTCTAGCCGGTGTGGAGAAGAAAGAGTCTTTGTCCATGCTGGGAAGCGGACGTCGGGCGTCCAGCCCGTAGCCTGTCATACACCCACCGAGCCATCCCGTTCGATTATGCTCATTTAACTGTCCTCAGTTAAGTAAATGATACTATATATCTTTGGTGTCCAAAGATTAATTAATTTACTTTAATTCATTAATTCCCAAACCCTGATTAGGAGAGGCGATGTGAAGAGTGGGACTTTCGGTCGCAGGAATCGATTGTCGTATGTCCCCTTTACTTGGCACTACCAGTTTGCCAGCCATAATGCTGACTCCAGTTGATAATAAAAGGAAGAAAAACATTAATGTGTAATAAAATCAAGTTCAATAGTAAAGGGAATGAGATACTTACTTACTTATTCATGGAGCTGAGCCCTTCTGGAGGAGCCGCCAATTCTGCAAATAGTCAAGAATTTCCCAGCATCTTATGGAACCCGAAGGTTCATTACCGTGTTCACAAGAGCCATCCACTGGTCTCTATCCTGAGCCAGATCTATCAAATCCATACCATCCCATCCTATATCTCTATCCATTCTAATATTGTCCACCCACCTACGCCTTGGTCTTCCCTGTGGTCTCTTTCCTTCTGGCCTTCCCACCAATATCCTATACGTATTCCTCGTCTCCCCCATTCGTGCTACATACCCTGCCCACCTCATCATCCTTGACTTGATCATTCTAATTATACTTGGAGAAGCGTACAAGTTATGAAGCTCCTCATTATGCAGTTTTCTCCAACCTCCTGTCACTTCATCCTTCTTCGGTCCAAATATTCTCCTCAACACAAAGGGAATGAGATATCGTGTATTATTAATAACTTGTGAATCTGTAGCAATAGTAACACCCATCTACGACAGACAAATTTAACGTAATTAATTTCGCATGTCCTAAAGATGATTCAGTTTCATATAATATTCAAGTTCGCTTTGAGATCAACTGATGAATTTGTGTATCGTTTTTCTTTCATATATTACAATTACCGGATTTAACCCTTTTTGCTTGCAGTGGTGTCCTTGTGGCTTAAGTAATGTATTCCTATAATAAAGGAATAGTTGTGTAAGACCAATGGAGCGTAATTTTCCACGGCATGAACTCGTAAATTGTGTTTTCTTACGTTTATATGTGGTTGGCTCTTTTTCTGCGTTTTTGTTACACTAGCGTTCTACTCAGTGCCGTGTGTTCCCCTACAATGCTGTTGTCTTCCGTACAAATACGTGTAGATAAACACAGCTCCGCCTGTAACAATTAGTATAAGACACGGAACCAAACGCATTATAGAGTGAACATTATTAACAAGCCGTAAAATTGTTCCTGACCTCAATTTATATATAATCCACTCAAATTCACTGTTCGCTAATATCAGAAGAGCCCGTTGAAATAAAACAGGAAATAATGTTGTTTCTTATCTTCATCCCTGACCCTGGTCTTACTTACCGGCGCCCTTTTCATGCCCTCATCTCCTTCCCTACCTTCTCCGTTAAAACAGTGAATTACTTTTCACATTTCTTCTTTTTGTGACATGCTTTCTTCTTATCCTTCTTAAAAATTTAAAACGGATTTCATTGATTTCTTTACAAAACAAATACTGTTGCACAAAATATGGTAAAAGGTAAAGGTATACTTATCCCTGTGCTTAACTAATTAAACATTACGCCATAAGGGAATGGATATATAGATCCACATTTTCCTGACCTCAGTACTAGTTGGAAGTGAGTGGTTAGCTTCACGCTCCGGCCGCTTTACCCCCCGGTACCCATTGGATAGGAGACTGGGTGGCCCCCAAAGCCGGTCTGGACGACGTGGAGAAGAGAAAATGCTTGACCCTACCGGGACTGGAACTCCGACCCCTCGGTCGTCCATCACATAGCCAGTCGCTATACCGACTACGCTGTCCCGGCTCACACAAAATATGGTATATGACTTAAGATATAGATCTGAGTAACAATAAGAAACCTTAT